TTAATTAGACTATCTTTACACATTGGACCACTTGCATTGGTTAGAAACTATTGAATTCGGTAATTAGTTAGCAAACAATTTTTGATTATTTTAAAGATTTTTTTTTTTAATTTTTTGGATTCATCTACTGCAGGGGTTCCCAAATTCGGCACCCTTGTTGTGCTAAAAAAATTTCGCGGCACCCCTACTCTTCAAATGTCTACGAAAACAAGAAAAGACAATGCAAACTTTAGCTTTAATGTGAGGACTGAAATTGTTTTGATGATTTCATTATTTCCTTTGGAAGCTTTGACAAGACTGAAATCATTTGACGCTGAAAGCTTGCTGGTGTATTTGTTTTTAACCGACTTCACAAAAAGAAGGTTATCAGTTCGTCGGAATATTTTTTTATTATTTTTTTCTATGTATGTTAGCGCATAACTTTGGACCACGTTAACCGATTACTATAATTCTTTTTTAAAGGAAAGGTAATACCTGACAGGTGGTCTAATTTGGTTAAATCCGATCATTGGATCATGAATAGATTAACGATAATTTTAATACTTAGGGCCAATTTCACAGCGCGTAGTTGACCCAGAATCGGCAGTTAACTATAGAATTCTGTACTGAAAGTCTGTGGTTAACTGGCGACTCTGAGTTAACTATACACTGTGAAATTGGTTCTTAGAAGGGAATTGAAATCGGTTTTTTTTTTTGCTTAAAAATTACTTGTTTATGTAAGCATTTGTTGAAAATGTAGTCTCACACAGAAATGTAAAAGTAAGGCCCCTATTATGAGTTGCATTCGACTGTGGTCGAAAGTGCTGATCGAACGAATTTTCATTTGGTATAATGACGCTCATTCGGTGAAGAATAGCGCTATTGTGAATTTCGCTCGGTTAGGTTGTTTAAAATAGTATATTTTTCACCGCTGAGAAGTTTTGTTTACAAATCGAGCAAACTAAATAGTGTGCTTATACATATGTATATAAATTTGTGTAATTTAAAATGAAATAATAAAGAAAGCGAGTTTATAAAAACGTGGTGAAAATCAGTACAACGGAGTTCTGGTTCAACGATTCGTCAGAGGATGAGAGCTTGGTAAACTGGCCAGGAGAAGAAAATGTTTAAGAGGGTTTAAGTGTAGTCGTTCGAATTAATAAAAATTGTTTAAAATTAGTGTCTAGTCGCCGTAAAGTAAAAAAAAACAAATGCAAATCAAAATTTTCACAATTTTCTAACACTTCGCTACACCATCGAAAGCAAAATTCGGTTCGACAGAAAATTCGATACTCAACGAAAATTTCGACACGGGTGCATAGCTCATAATTTCGCTTTCGATGTTCGATCTTCGATAACCAGCGAAGAAAATAACGCTAAGAAAATAATTTTTACAGCCAATTTCACGAAAGCAATTTA